TCTCACCGGCTTCCTCTGCGGGTCGGGGGGTTTGAATGGGTTTCACTCTCTTCTCTGTGCGGTGCCTCTGCTGAGACGCTTGGTAAGCCTAGGGTACAAGCTCTGTAATTAACTTACAAACTAAAAGCAGAGCTGTTTAAAGTTGCAGCATCGGCACCAAACTTGTCTTTCTGCCTCTTTTTGCCCATGTACTATGCTGCCCTGGTACTCTCTCTTTGCATGATGCACAGTTTACTCTAAGGCTCTTTTGGAAATTTACCACGAATTTTATCACATACAGAAATCAATGTGAAGTTTACCATTTATGATATGCACAAAGCATTTCAAGCAAACGAAACTTTGGCTCTCCGCTATAGAGCAACTGAGAAGCAGCTGTTGGCTAGACTGTGGCTAAACGCGAGGCAGCGCGCGCACACTGGGCTCATCGAGGTGCTGGAACGGCAGGGGAGCATCCTGAAGCCTGCAGGGAAGTGCCATGCGTGGAAAGGTCCCCTCTATCTCCTGTGCTCTGTGTCCAGTAGGACTGGTCAAACAGATCTGTAAAGCCATTCCCCTGAAGATCCCTATGCTCTTCCTAGCAGGTCCCTAGTTCTGCATCAGTTTTGAGATCTCACTTTGTGAGAGATTACACCTCTCCCACCTAGACAGGCACCCCTTCAGCTTGGGCAAGGGGTGTAACCGTGATACAAACTTTGCATTACTCAGGGTTTAGACCATGGACATTGTATCTCTATCTGCATCTATTTCAGTTCAGACGTGGTAGTGTTAAAATGAAAGTACTGAACAAAAGGCAGAAATGTGGGGTAAATAGCTTCCTGTCAAGTCTTGCATAGCTTATGTGCAACCTATGTATTGATGATGATTGCATGAGTTTTGGTCAGGAGAACAAGAGGACAAGGGTTATAGTGTACACTGTTTTAGTAGTATGTGCTTCTCTTTACCATCCAGAAAGCATTTCATGTAATTAGAAGGCAACAAAAACGCAGACCTTGAAGTACCCATGTTTCTAATCATAACACCCAGCAAGGCCCGTTACTGTAACGCTGATTCTCCTTTGCTAGTAATTCTAGGTCAGACTTTGGAATAGGAGTTACAGTGATGTTTGCAGATGTCCCTTTAACCCTATTTTGTTGCTTTAAAAAAACATTTATGTAACAAATAAACCTGCAGCATGTTGTAGCTAAATGTACTCCTGTCCTTAAAAACAAATGCTTGATGGAATATATGAGCTAAAACCTCCAATAGCTTGATAGTGACTTAGACTCACTGAGGTTGAAAAACCTCCCTCAATGGGCATGCGGTGTTAAACTGCAGCCTTCCTCCTCCCATTACGGGGGAAGGAGAGAAACTGTTCTACCTACAGGCCAATATACACAGCTGCCTAACCCAGCATAGACCCAACAGGGTAGAGCAATTCAAGTGCAACAGCACGTAACCTGACTGCATAGCTTTGGAGCCAGTTTGCAACTAAGTTTATTGCTGCTTTCACAGAACACACCATATGAACTCAGAGAGCCACCTAGAGACCAAGTGGCATTGGTTTTGATCTGCAGTTACACAGACAGAATATACTTATCAGGATATGCTGATTTGGGATTTGGTCTGGCTCCGTACTTCCATGACACCATGACTGAGCTAAAAAACCCCTCTCAGAATTAAACATGAACAAAAACACCTACTTGAATCGTATAAGCCCCAGCAAGGTGCATTCCATTGCTCAGGTAAGAATTATTCATTACAGGATCTGCTGCACTCCTCTCCAAAGGATCTGATGCCTGATACTAGAGTTACGCCCTGCTCTATATTGCTGTCCTAATGCACGTTACTATAGGCTAGCAATAGTTAATCGCCTCTCTTCTATGGTGTATTTGAAGTTTTGACATTCACGTCTAACTCGAAAGACTAACTACAAGCTGGTGTTTAAATGGCTTCTGTGGAGCAGTATGGATTGTGTGAATGTTCATGCTTGCTTCCTTGATCAAGGGCAGTATAATGGGAAGAGAGTCATCAGAAAGGTGACAGCTACAATATATTACAGCCCAAAACACATGGATGGATATCTGGCAGACAATGAAAAGGAAAGTAATAAATCGGCTTCTCTACTTTCCCTTTCACACTCTTCTGTGTAGATAACAAAATTCTTTCGCATCTCTCTGGAGGTTATTCCCCTCAGGAGGAATAACAGGTGTCTTGTGTCATAAAATTGTACGCAGGAACATACAGCTGCATATATAGGGCTTATTCCCTAATTCAAATTCTTCTGTCCCATTAATAAGACACCCACTATTAACAACAGTTCATCCCAATGACTGCAACAACTATGAAAATATAGTACTAGAAATGTGATTAACATGTGATTGTTCATTCTGTTTTGCAATCTATAGTTTTCTCCTTGAAAACAAACAAAGGAGAAAGAAAGTGATATTTTTCAAAACTCATTTTGAGAGTTAATATAAGTCTCTCTTTGTACCCAGAGAAGATGGGGAATGAAAATATGGGAAAGACAGACGTTAACTCGGCTAGAATATGATGTGGCATACAAATTCTCTTCCCAGAGTTCCCTAATAACCTTTTTAGAACAGCAAAAACTGTAACATGCATGATCAAAACAAGCAGTAAGAGCAGTAGGTCCGAGCAGAAAACAGGTGTGAGAAACTAATCCAAGCCTGGGAACTGGCCTCTAAAATATACACACAATTTTAATAAATTTTCCAAACTCTCACTATTGTATACAAGTAAAGGAAAGCAAGAGAAATGTTGTTCTTATTTGTTATTTATATTGATCAAGCAGGCAAAAGGCAAAAATACAACTAAGGCAATTTTTTTTTTGGTAGAAAGAAAAATGAAGCAGTCTTATAATTAAGCAGTATATTCTTGGTTCCTAGTGAAAGGTCTTCTGCATTGGAACCTTCACCAAAAGCCTAGGCAGGTTATAATCTTGCTCAGTGCATTTTATTTTCAAGTAAAGCAAAAATACTAAATGACACTGTAAACAGCTATTTGGAATACTCCTTCTGTCACGGCACCTGAAGGCCTATTAAATGGAGATAACAGTCACCACTATATTTTTACTCGCCCACATCTTACACAGTATCAGCAGTTCCCAAACCTTTTTCTGGTTGTCGTTCCACCTAAATTCGTTACCTTGTGCAATCCCAAACACAAGTGTAACTACTGCGTTTTTGTGAGGTTCACAATTCAGCTCTTAAATGTTGACAGCTGGTTTGGAAACTGCTATTCTAACCCCAATAATACTAAGTTACTTTACTATGTATCTGAAAGTCAGTACAACATGCAAATTTATCTTCACGCTACACTTGCCCGTTAGGCAAATACAGTGTTACAGTGCTTAACTTTATTTGCACTTAGGTAAAAGTTGAATTCTCTTTATCTGCAAAGCAACAGATTTTGAACAGTATCGTGAATTACATGTACACATGTTCTTTCTGTGGTCTTAATACTAGCTATATACACAATTTGAGCGATGACATGGTTCTTAGCTTGTTCTTTGCACAGGACACACGCTACATGTCCTAATAGTCAGTTAACCAAAAAAAGAATCAAAACTGTAATAGTGCTTTAATACTATTTGTTAAAATGTAAAACAGCCTTACAGTAGCTGTTAGGTAGTTATCAGTCTCTTCCGAGGACATGCACTAATCAAGAAAACATTCTATCAACAAGCAGCATTTCATAAAACAACTTAATGTAGCTGCCACTTAGTGGCAGCAATCATTTAGGCATTTTTGGTATTGATATATCTTTATCATATAATTTGTGCATTAATTGACAAAAACATAGGCCCCAATCCAGCAAATACTTACGCATGTGCAAATACTTTTTTCCCCATGTGGAATATTTTAAGTGAGACTAATCAGATGAGTGAAGTTAAAAACTTGCATAAATGTCTGCAGGATGGGAACTCTTAGCGCTTACAACTTTTCGTAGGACTGCAATTCAATTCCAGACTTTGAGAATATAGGAAATACTCCTATAAAGAGTAAATATGTTGTTTTAAGATAAATGCTTTCAGGGTAACAAGATCATCTAGAAACGCATGTGCCTTCTCTCTAAACAACTTATTTCTTCTTGGAAAAATATGGGCCCAGTCCTCTAGCTCCTGGGTACTCTCTTTTGTTGCATGAGGAATCAATAAAGTGCTTGTCACAAAATCCATAGTCATGGAATAAAATCAAATTTAAGTACCTATAATGTCTTTAAAAGTATAAATTATGGATTAAATGCTATCATCTGACCCCCAACCTGTTTCCCTGAATTAGTAACAAATACAATGTTCTTCACTCTGAAGAAAAATCAGAATTCTTGTTAGGGCTAGGTATATTTCGTATTTGCCCTAGTGAAGTTATTTTGTGCCTTGGGTGGAAAAGCTTAAATTTATTTAATTTCAATGTAAAAGTTCATGCTTGACTGAAACGTGATGCTTATGTAATTTCACAAGCATCAGCATTCAATATGCAATTTAGCTCTGTTTAATCAAACACGAAGTACTGATACTGTTTACCTTATGTCCGCTCTGAATTGTCTTATCATTTGTTCCCATCTCACCATAATCCTGAAGTCTTGCTTGCCCTTTCACCTTTCCTTTGATCAGACATTTGTTGTTCCTCTTGAAAAAAGTGTCTCTGATATAAGCTTTGATATAAGTTGTATTGATCTTTGTGGCATCTTCTCATTAACATCGCTTCTGAATATTTAAATTACTAAAACTATATATATATATAAATATACGGGGTTTTTTTTTTGCTAGCTTTCAGATAATTAACCTATGAGAACTGGCTGAGACTATATGCTCTCTGTAGAGAACTTGTATATGATATACCTCCTCATACAAAAAATATAGTGGTTTGAAATATTTAGTCATGTGTTTGGTAAATGATAGCATCTCACTGTTTTGTTTTTAAAGGCTTCGGTGTTACTTATATTCACATTCCAGTCAGCTACAGGATAATAGCAACCGCAAACACATTGACAATGCAGTTCATCGTTCGGTTTTCCCATCTCACTGTGCAGGTTCCTAAAAGAGATTTTTTTTACAAAATAAAAATAGAATCTCAGTATCTTTACTAAATTAATTCTATTTCAATGTAAATTACATGAAATTAGTATGAAAACTTCAACGGTGATTTGAGGTAACTACTATTGTGTCATCTTGGCTAGAAACAGGTGATTTTCTCAACATGTTTTCATTAACTTGTAGATTTTCTACTAACAAACATGGTTCTTGCATGCCTAATCTAGGAAGAGAAGACTAGTTCAGCGTCTCTTCAAAAGCCGGATTTGCAAAAACCCCTGAGGATCTCCTACTAAAATTGGCAAGATAATTGGGCATCCCCCCTGCAAAAAAACAAAACTGTCTAGATCAAGTAGTTCTAGTGTATTTACTTTCTTTAATTTCCCTCTTCAGTTTTATCAATGTCTAACAGACTTATATAATTTTTGGAACTCAATAAGGTCATTGTTTATTTTTATGAATATATCTGGAAACTAATTATCTTTGTGTTTTCTTGGCTAATAAAACATCAGGATAAGTAAACTGTACTTGTTTACTTGAACTTCATTTTATTTATTTATTTTTTTTAACTTGGTTGACTTTCTAGTACAATCCCTATTTTTAATTTATAACTTGGTGCCCTCTTCTGGAGATTAAAAACAACACACCTGGACAGGATTAAGAATATTTTAACCTTATTTCCTCACAATACTGTGAAACTGAGAAAAATGCATTTAGAAATTATTTAGATGCAAATGAAGTGTATCTGAGGCCTATAAATTGAATGATAGTTCAATTTAAAACACATGCTGTTAGTCAAACTATTTCTACCTTCTACTGAGTTCTGTTCATCTTCAAAGTAGCACTGTCTCCTTTTAACAGATAAGTGGATGTGTTCAGGAGTATGTACTTGCATATACTGCAAACAATATTTTAGTGCCTCCTCAGTTGATCTGTGGTTACTGAAGAGGATTACATATTTTGATTCTTGTTTCATGATACAAGCATTTCTGCTACTGCTTCTTATAATTTAAAAAGCAGTCTCTCTTATGCCTGCTTAAGACTCATTATCAACAAAACCGTTCAGTTCTGGGCACTTCTGCTGGGCTTGTGAACAAACATCTAATTCTGGAAGCTACTGCTTCTATAATCACTCTTCCAAAATATTCAACAGAACTATTACAACTGAGCAACAGGTATCATTTCTTTTACTACAACTTATTAATTTGAGCAAGGAAACTTACCATCAGTTGTGGTATCCCAGAAGCAAGAGCTTGCTGTGTGGAGACCAGCTCCACTCCTCTGCATCACTGCACAGGTTACTGAAGGACACAGTCATAAAATCGGAGCTTTCATTATTAAAACAAGAGGTGAATCATTCAGAATTTCAGAACTAAAGTTTGCATTATGATTTCAAATGGCTGAGAGGAGGCATTCAGCTAAGTCAAAAATCATTTCGACTAAAACCGCACCCCAAGCATTTTCCACAGGAACTTGGTGTTCATCTCATCTATCTTTATTCACATAAAGACAACAGCTTTAACATAATGCTTGCTAATAAGATTATGTTTTTTTTTTTTTTTTTTTTTATCTTCTAAGCTACTTAGATACGGCTTGTGACTTGTGCACTTTGGAACTGGATAACAGGTACTGTCCTTACAGTTGCAACAGAAATCATGCTTGAGAGCTGTTTTACAAAAGTATTGCTGTACTGCTCTCTGAGACCACACTCTAGTGAGGTACAGCATTTCTAGACTGTCCTGCAACTTGCTGTAAAACCAGTGCCAATCTTAAGTCAAGACTTCAAAATAGAACAGAGTGCAAATGCTTGTTAGTATGTCAACGCTTGCACTTATTTCCATTTTTCTTCCACAAACATGCTTGTATATGTATAACGGGGCATGATCTATCTTACAGGACTGACAAAGTTTTAAAAGTCTGTACTTATGTTAAACACAATCCTACTAAAATTATTTTAAGATGAACAGAATCCATTTCCTGAACTTATACCAAAAAGCTGACATAAACGTTTGGGAGTTGCTTAGTCAAGAAAGACTGAACGACATGTCATCTTTCGGCTAAGCGTGCTATTGACGCTTAGCACAAAGTAAAACTCCCATGGTTTCACTGCAGGTATTACTAAAAATCTATATTACAAAAGAGTTCAGGTCTTCATTCATTATCCACTCCACTCTGTTTACAATTTAGAGATTTAAAATTCTCCATTCAATAGATCACTGCATTAAAATGACCTTTCAGCAATTATTTACTGTGATTGTATGGGGTAAAAGTACGGATACTTGCACTCACCAATGTACTTATATGTTTTTCCTAGTTTCACCAAATGTGTCAGTGACTGTTCTACTATAGCTGCAGTCCACTGGTTGACTTTGTTGTGGTTATAATCTGCTTTGCCCAAAACACCTTCTATGCACTGAAACAGAGAAAAACCATAGACAATAAACAAGAAATACTTCAAAATGCAGAGGTTTAAAATGTGTCATACTATCTGAGGAAATTTATCTCACAATTGAATCACTTTATATCACTTCAGTTCATCACGTATCAGTTGCTGAATGGGAAAATAGAACAAGACAAGCTTATTTTTACCACATATTTACCACATTACTAGACAGAGGTAAGTGAGGCTATGACTTAAAATTTCCTGTAGGAAAGACTTTAAGCAAATGTTTTAAGTACCAAGGTAAATAAATGGGTCCATTTACTGATGCAGATGTCCTGTTGTCCCCTTCATGATTGCCTATTTCAGCCGGGCTTTCAGAAGCTACTGCGATGGAAACTGTACAACTTTATTCAATAATGCAAACTTGGGCTGGCTGACCTTCCTCAGTCCGTGAGCAACATACCAAAATCTTCAAATTACCAGAGCCACAATAGTGAAACGCGTACCTCAGCTAAGGAATGAGAAAGATATGAGAGCAAGAGATATGCAAGGGTCATATCTTGCAGCATGAGACACACCTGAACTGCCTGAAAACTGCATATTCTCCCAGAGCTATATTTATAGGCCAACCCTTGCATAATCTTACAACAGTCAAACAACGGAAAGCCTTTAGCTGTAACTCCTAAGTTGCATCCTCTGCCCTTAAAGAAGCTCAGAATCTTGTCCTGGTGGGAACTGTATTTCTCAGTGTTAAACAATAAGGAAATGTATACCTGGAAAAGGTAAATAAAATGAAACTATGTTTTCCTGTGTTTCAATAATATAAATCCTGTGCACTAACGACCCACTGACAGGCTGCATAAGAGATTTGTGCCCTAGATCTTAAAAAGCCCAGTTTGTTCTGATCACAAAGGACTGGACAAAGGACTCAATTGGAACAAACATCCATAGAACAGAATAGAAGATAACTGGAGGACAACAGTTCTTAAGAGATTCTTTGTTCCTTCTAGAAAGGTATCTAACACTAACTCCTTACCTTGAGTTAAGCTTTAAAGCAGAGGGAGAAATACTTGTCTTTACTCCCTGGGTCACATGTAAAAATAAAGAGAACTTGTCATACAGTATTTGGCCTTTCAAGGCAGGGATAGTTATAATGAGCTGAATAATCTGACATCTAAGACTTCGCTGCTGTGTATTGGAACAGCTCTAAAAGTACAGCTCTTTCCATCTTGAGAGGGCATGTAGAAAAGGATGTGCAGAATGCCTACAGAAATTCCTTTATAAAAATGGTATTTCCTTGCAAAACTTCACAAGCTCTGTGTCACAGGCTCTTCTTTAATCACTTTCTGGTTACTAGGCATTTGATTTAGACTAATGGCTTATTCATTTTAAGGCTGCTCTTTCTGTGTAAAAACTCATCTTTAAAAACATTGATAAAGTAACTGGAGCTCATGTAGTCCAATCTTTTGCTCAAGGCACAAGTAATTTCAAAGTCTGATCAGGCTGCTCAGCCTTGAATGCTTGTCCATTTGATTTTTTGAAATTTCTAAGGATGGAGACTCCACAAGCTCTCTTGGCAAACTGTTTCAGTGGTTAACTACTCTCTAGCTGGATAAGGAAAAAAATTCACAAAGAATTTACTTTGCAGCCTGTGACTGTTGCCCCTCGTCATTCCACTGGAACGCAAATTTTGACTCTCCCGCTTCTGGAATCCCTCCCTCTCTTTAGGTCAGGGAAGACAGCATAGACGAAGCTTCCAAGCAATCCCAGATAAAACTTTGTTTCTACTTCATATAAATAACAACTTATATTTCATATAAGTGTGACTGATCTTGCTTAACTGTTTCCACTACATTTCAAGGCAAGGTAAAGATCATCTTTGAAATACTACCATTAAGGCAGCAGCATCTGGGAGTGCTCCCAGCACCTGGGAGTGCTGGTAGACAACAAGTTAAACATGAGCCAGCAGTGTGCCCCTGTGGCCAAGAAGGCCAATGGGATCCTGGGGTGCATTAGGCAGAGTGTTGCCAGCAGGTGGAGGGAGGTGATCCTGCCCTTCTATTCAGCCCTGGGGAGGCCTCCCCTGGAGTCCTGTGTCCAGTTCTGGGCTCCCCAGGACAAGAGAGACATGGCACTCCTGGAGAGAGTCCAGCGGAGGGCTACCAAGATGATTAGAGGGCTGGAGCACCTCTCCTCTGAAGAAAGGCTGCGAGAGCTGGGCCTGTTCAGCCTGTAGAAGAGAAGACTGAGAGGGGATCTCATCAACGTGTACCAGTATCTGAAGGGGGAGTGTCAAGAGGATGAGGCCAGCCTCTTCTCCGTGGGGCCCAGCAACAGGACAAGAGGCAATGGGCAGAAACTGAACGACAGGCAGTTCCATCTGAGCATAAGGAAAAACTTCTTTCCTGTGAGGGTGACAGAGCACTGGCACAGGTTGCCCAGAGAGGTGGTGGAGTCTCCTTCCCTGGAGATATTCAAAACCCGCCTGGACGCGATCCTGTGCAATATGCTCTAGGTGACCCTGCTTGAGCAGGGAGGTTGGACTAGATGATCTCCAGAGGTCCCTTCCAACCTCAGCCATTCTGTGAAGGTAAAACCTACCTCCTTAACGATGTTGTGGGCTTCATCAGTATTGAAGATCATCTGTAATAAAATTTAAATTAAATTAAACCATTTTTATTTCTAGTAGAAAAGTAAACACACAATGCAGTTTTACTCCAAATAACATGCAACGATCAGGCCTGCTTGTATAAACTGCAAGCATACTTTTAAGATCTTACTTTTTTTTCCAGCACCAGAGATACGTTTTTTAGCATTCCTCTCTGCTAGTTACTTTTGAGCGGGTACAAAAAGCTTAGGCATCAGCGTGCTTGGAAACAGGCTCAATTTTCATTTTCTGTAAAGATTAAATCCTACCTCTATGTATGCTTTTCATCAGAATGTTCTCCAAGACAAAAAGTTGAATGGCAAATCTTTCCTCTGGGTTTCAGTCCTGTTTTTTTATTGGAGCCACAGGCCTACTAACCTTTGGGTTAAATCTGACTGCCACATGATAACTCAAGGTTTTGCAGCCCTAATATCAAAAAGACTGTCTTTCATGTTCATTAGCCCATCCAGCTAGCTCTCAAGCATGGACAAAGCTAGCAGTTTTAACACAGCCCATTTTCCACTCATCAGTTTTCAGCTTGGCTTCCAGAGGGAGCATGACATGTGCAACTGTGCCATCTGCTCCTTCTTATCCTCCAGTTTCAAACATACGGGCAAGGGCAGAAATCTCAAGGACAACTATTTTCCTGTGAGGTTTGGTAATGAAAATCAGTGGGTGGAGACCCCAACTCAGGCCCCGTGGGGAGGGAACGGTGGCTTATTCATTCTGGCTGGCAGCGATCAGCTCGTAGCGCTGGAAGGAGCCCAGCGCTTGCTTTTATTCCAGGGGTGATACAAGAAAAATGGCCGAAGGCTGACGATATTACAGCAAGCAACAGCATCCCCCACTGCACAGCATAATGAAAGTACCTTTGACTTTCTTTGACATAACTTCAATAAATGCACCCTCTACCTACTAGAATTGAGAAGCGCAGTTTAAAAGGCAAAATCCCAAGCGTACAGAGGCTAAAATGTGCGCCTGCACAAAGAAACCCTGCTTCCAAGCCACAGCAAAGGCTGTTCGCTCGGCTGCCAGGCCGGCTGCCTGCTGGGTGCGCCCCACGCTGGGGGCGCTGGCATCAGGACTGCCGAGGATCGACGGGGAAGCTCGGGGCACAACTCCATTTTCCAGCCAGAACCTCACATAGAGCTGAGCGCGCCAGGGAAGC